AAAAAGTTTGTCAACATTTCGATTTTTTCAACTCTTGGTTTATTTGAATTTTTGAAGAAATTTTTGAGAAATTGTCTGAAATGTAAAATTTAAAAAAAGCTGGCATAAATTGAAGTTGCCCTGTTAAAACTACCTTAAATGATCTAGTAGTAGTGGAAGCCCACCCTTTACAAGCACTTTGAGCTCAATTATCTCGGTTACTTCAAAAAATATCAAAATGTGGGCAACTGATAAATTATTTATCACAACATCACTCATATTTTATACGTTGACAAATTTTTTATATCTGTCATAGGAACCGAGATAATTGAGCTCAAAGCACACGTATAGGGAAATCTGCTATTGGAACAAATACGGTAATTATAAAACACCAAAAATTTGCTTCTTGAGATCCTCCCAAAAAATTCTAGAATCCTTCCTTGTTGACTTCCACTTCATTTATCTGAAACTGATGTTTTCAAGTTTTAGCATCATTCCATATGTACATAATTAGAGAGCCCATCGTGTGTCTATAACGGATCACTCTGGACTTGGCTGAATTCCAGCCGCTCATTTAGAATCTGTGTTTTGTGACTCCCAAAAAAATATATATGTATGTATCTAATTTCAACCCCCTGGTAGTCTTCCTGTAATTAGAAATTGTTGTCCTATTCTTTCCCCTCTAACTGCAATTTATTTTGACCCCACATAAACATTTGATGGCCACTACTACTATTTGGTCCATTTCTGTTTGGTCGAGACTCTCGACTCAAGAGCAAAAAACCCCCAGAACTTGAGAAATCAAATTTGGAAGGACCCAGCTCCGGAGCATAAGTTATTTTTCTTCATCCGTTTACTTTTGATTCCATTATAGAAATGTTCTTCAATTTCCGTTCTTCTTCCCACCCATCGTTTTTTATATAGTCATTTCTTTGTGGCATATGACTCAACCTCCCAATGAAAATCTAGAAAAACAAAGAATAACCCACCTGTGTTCACCTTCCGACTTCATAGAATAATAATCTCTTTTCTTTATTCTTTCTCCTTTTTTGTTTTACTTTGCAGAATAAAAAGAGAGACTTTTCTATAAGATCATAAAGTTTTACATGTTTTATGAACTTGAAAAACCAACATCTTTGGGGAATTGCTCTTTTTATCTCTTGCAACAAAAAAAAAGACGTTCTTTGAGCCATGCACTCTTATTTCTTTGAGACGATTCTTGTAGACCTTTGTTTTCCTTTCCTTCTTTTTTCGTGCCCCTTCTCTGAAAAAATAGGAATCCCATCCAAAAACTGCCATAAAAACTTAGCGAACGGCTCTCTGTTTCCGAGATGGGATAAAAAAAGGGACGAACCCTCTCACTCTACTCTCGTAATGAAATTGTATGCTTGAGGCAGTTGTGGTGGTGGGTTGTTTAAGGAATAATTGATGGTATTTACTTCCATTCCAACAAACTCATTCACAACAGACCGCCACTATTGTTTTGCGATCATAACCTTTGTGCTTTTGACATTTGTTTTTCTCGAGAAGTAATTTTTTTGTTTCCAGATATTAGGAGATGAAACAACAATCAGCTTCCAGCTTCCAAACGCTTCGAATATTTTTGATACTGTAAGTTGAAATTCAGAAATTCAGAAATTCAGAAATTCAGAAATTCAGAAATTCAGAAATTCAGAAATTCAGAAATTCAGAAATTCAGAAATTCAGAAATTCAGAAATTCAGAAATTCAGAAATTCAGAAATTCAGAAATTCAGAAATTCACGAAATTCAGAAATTCAGAAATTCAGAAATTCAGAAATTCAGAAATTCAGAAATTCAGAAATTCAGAAATTCAGAAATTCAGAAATTCAGAAATTCAGAAATTCAGAAATTCAGAAATTCAGAAATTCAGAAATTCAGAAATTCAGAAATTCAGAAATTCAGAAATTCAGAAATTCAGAAATTCAGAAATTCAGAAATTCAGAAATTCAGAAATTCAGGAATTCAGAAATTCAGAAATTCAGAAATTCAGAAATTCAGAAATTCAGAAATTCAGAAATTCAGAAATTTAGAAATTCAGAAATTCAGAAATTCAGAAATTCAGAAATTCAGAAATTCAGAAATTCAGAAATTCAGAAATTCAGAAATTCAGAAATTCAGAAATTCAGAAATTCAGAAATTCAGAAATTCAGAAATTCAGAAATTCAGAAATTCAGAAATTCAGAAATTCAGAAATTCAGAAATTCAGAAATTCAGAAATTCAGAAATTCAGAAATTCAGAAATTCAGAAATTCAGAAATTTAGAAATTTAGAAATTTAGAAATTTAGAAATTCAGAAATTCAGAAATTCAGAAATTCAGAAATTCAGAAATTCAGAAATTCAGAAATTCAGAAATTCAGAAATTCAGAAATTCAGAAATTCAGAAATTCAGAAATTTAGAAATTTAGAAATTTAGAAATTTAGAAATTTAGAAATTTAGAAATTCAGAAATTCGGAAATTCGGAAATTCAGAAATTCTTGGAAACATTGATTTCAGAAAGTTTTTGTGTTCCTGTGTACTTCCAACTCTATTTATACTCATTTTTCCAGTTGTTCCATATCCACCACCTTCCCTCTTACCCAACCGAACATCTACAATCTTCTCCAACAAGCCAACACACGACCTCCAACAGCAAATGCTTCAATTCCACTTGGTGTCAAACTTGGGATGTATCTAGAAAGCTTAGGAAACTTCCGCTCATCAGAAATGGTACTCATTTATCTTTTCCCTATTCCACATATTTCATCATGTTTCAGTCGTTTGACGTTGATTTATATGTTTACATGTCGTGGCAGGACACTCGTCTGGCGCATAATTTTTCCAACTATGTGCTCATCAACAATGATGAAATTCGAAAACAGATTTGGTGAGTCTGAAACACGGGAAAGAGTCAAAGAACGAAAATTTGAAGGCTTCCCGATTTATACTTTGCCAATGCTCGTCAAGCTAGCTTTCAAGAAGTTACTGTACCCAATTTCAATCTTTTCGTGGCACCCGATGGAACTGTCGCCTATTCGTGCAGATGTACATTGACAGTTGCCTGCAGTTTGAATTTGAGATACTATCCAATGGATCAGCAATTGTGCTCGATTCGAGTTTTGAGTTGTAAGTCTAGAATTTTCTTTTTTCGTTTAGGTTTTTGTTTTGATTGAAAAATTAGAAAATTTTAGACGCTTACATTGCCAAACAAGTCAACGTGACATGGTTTGATAAGAATCCTGTAAGGTTTAACGAAGAGATCGGGCTGCCGGAATTTCAAATTGAACATGTCTCAAATGCATACTGTAATGGCTCATATCAATATGCACTAACTGCTGATTCCTTTAAGTCAGGTAAGATTTTTTTTGCTCTTTTTTGTTCTTGTAATTTTTTTGTTCTCAGATTATTTTGGTTTTCAAATTTCTCTTTGTTCTTAGAAATTTTTTCGGTCTTTAGAATTTTTCCGTTTTCAAATTTTTTTGATCCACAGATTTTTTGAGCCTTAGAATATCTTTTGCTCCTTAAAATTTCTTTCAGTTCTTAGAATTTTTTAGTCCTCTGGTTTCAAAGATTTTTTTCAGTTTTTAAGAAAGGTGGTACAAAAAAATTTAGGCGTGAAAATTGAGCGTTAATGTAGGTTTATTTGTTTTTTTTTAATAATACGGCATTTTGACCGAGCAGCTCAGACGGTAAAAATGCGGTACCTTTGATGTAAGCCAACAAGTTCAATTTCCAAAAGAGTATTCATAAAAAATTTCATTACAAATTTTTTTGAATGACTCATTCTAATGAAACTCATTTCGTGTACATAAGGCCTAAAAGGTTTTCTTTATTTCAGACGACTTCAGTTGTCTTACTGGCAACCTATATCTATCCCGTTCTATTGGGTACAATCTTGTACAATCGTATATCCCTACTGGACTAATTGTCATGATTTCTTGGGTTTCTTTCTGGATTGACAGACGAGGTAGAAGGTCAAAAGTCATCTTTAAAACATTTAAAAATCTTCCAGCTGTCCCAGCTCGAGTTACTCTCAGTTTCACAACACTTGTCTCTTTGACAACTCTTGTAAGTTCAATTGTTCAACACTCTTTTGCAAATATGAAATATTGCTTTGTTTCTAGGGGAATGGACTACGGTTCGGGCTGCCCCAAGTGAGTTACGCGAAAGCCATCGACTTGTGGTACGGAGGTATCAAAGAACAGCTTCTTCCCACTTGGGACTTATCCAACACTTCTTTCAGCGTGTATGTTCTTCGTCTTTTGTGCACTTTTGGAGTTTGCAACTATAAATAGCTACATGCGAAAGTCGGAAAAGTTTGATAGTATGGCAAAGAAGATTCAAAGTGTGGTATTGACAGGGAGGAGTAAGTTTGAGTGAAAAACTAATCAACATTTCAAAACGGTTGTGCACGGTCACACGTTTGTGCCTCTATTCTTTCAATCAGTTTATGATTTTCAGATCGAAGCCTTATTTTTTCATCGTCTTCCAGAATGTTACCACGCACGAACCAAATAGTTTCTTGCACTCTCCCCTGCTCCCCTCTCTTTTTGTTTCCACTTTTATATATTTGTCACTTGTGTGTCCATGCACGAGCAAGGAAAAAAAAACAACAACACTGAGTTTTCAGAGAAATTCACCTTTTTTAGTTTGGAAAACAAATAAAATTCCAGCAAGGGACTATTTGGTTCGCGGCATCAAGGAAAGCATGCGGATTGCAGGAGGAGCCGCCGGAAATGTGGTTGAGGCTATGTCCGACGATTGGTGTACCTATTCGACAGAGAACGGACGTAAGAGCTTCTCCGCAATGTTCGGAGACATTTTTGAAGGGGCTGGCAAGGCGATTTCTCCTCATAGACACAGATACACAGGTGTAGAAAGCGAGCGTGTTTGATGGGTTGTTTCTATTGCTGTTTCTAACATCTGTACTAACATTTTCTGATTTCGTGGGTGTATATGGACTAACCTGTCAGTTTTTTCAATGTCAAACATCAAGGAAAAAGGCTTCAACAAATTCCAAAGTTTCAATTTTACTCAAATTTTAAAATTCAAAGAATATCCAGAATTTTCCGAATTTTCTGAAAATTCCGGAGTATACTAAACAAAATTAGAACTTGATTTTTGTAGTTGACAACTTTTTTGTAGAAATTCAATGAAGCTAGATAAGCGGTTTTGAAGTTGCACAACATTTTTTAGTTCAAATTTTGGAATTTTTGGCACTTTTTTAAAATTGAAAACGGCATGTTTCGCCAGGATGGAAATTGACAAAAAATTGTCAATTAAAAAGATTATATTCTTGTTAAGCAAACTTTTAAATTTTTAGAGCGATTGAAAAATTTTGAACTATGAAATCCTACAGAACCAGTAAAATTTTGACTATTCACTCAAATACTCAAAATATGATATTTTCTTGTCCGGCAGTCTACATACCTCTCCTACTATTCCCACCGATTTTCGTTGTACTAACCAGTGTCATCCGTTTGTTTAACTTTCTGTGAACCTGTTGTGAATTTCAGTGGTCTTGAAAGACCTGAAAAGTGTTAGATATGTCTTTGAAATTTGACTCTTAAATTCCGATATAAAAACCCATATTTAATACTTTCCAGTTTCTTCCTAACTCTTTTCTAACCCTACTAACCCTTCCACCCCGTCTGATTTTCTGAACTTCCGGTCCTTCAGTTAACCTTATTTATCTCCACAAGATCCATAAAGCCACCCCCCCCCCCTTCTCGAAAAGCACTGCTTTTAGTTTTATAATCCCTTATTCTATCTCAAAATCCATTATTCTCCTCCGCCCCACTAAAAAATAATCTGATCACTAATAACTAGAGTGTTTGCCTAATTGGTATATACATTTTTGACTAATACGAGTGATTAGAGAGAATAACAAAGCCATTAGAGACATATTTCGGAAATTCAACTTTTTTTCAGGATTGAAGACCGAGAAAAGTCCAAGAAGCTATGGGAAGCCGGACACTGTGCAGGATATTTTAAGCGAGAGAATCAAATTCATTGATAATGAGTTTGACTACGATGCGAAAGAGGATGATGGTGAATAAGCGTTTTCTGTTTGCCGGCGGGGGATTAAAATTCAATTTCAATCAGACATTTTCCAGGAATGGCCATGTCGATCTATGATAATGTGTCCTGTCGCAAAGATGACGTCGACTCAAGTTCAGGTAACAATGGAGATTGCGGTTCTGATTGAAAAAATGATTTCAGAGGAAACAAAGTTCAGTACAAAACCAAAGAAAAATGGAGCCAATGGTACTAGAAAGTACATTGATAAGAGTCTTAATCAAAACAGTGCGAATGAGAGTTTGATGGTTGCCACGTATTTCCAGGTACTGTAATGAACAGAAAGAGTTTATTCAAGGCTAATTAGTCATCGTAAACGTTCTGGAAGAATCATCTCACAAGGGTTTGGGATGCTTTCTATTAGACTGATTGCGTCTAAAACAGCTAACAAGGTATCGTATATAGTGGTGGGCATATGTTGACTTTTCTATTTTAAAAAGTCCACTTTAGAGTTCTTAAAAAAATATTCTGCAGTTTTTCAATACTTCTGAAAATATTAGAAATGACTGAACAAAAATGTAATGGGTCGATTAGTTTGCGGATTTTTTCGGAGGAGATACCGTTAGAAGCCCACGCAAACTTTCACGTTTCAAACTCATTTATTTTTTTTTCCTGTGAAAGTATCAAAAACTTTTCAACTATTAAATTATTCTTTATAATATCCCCGATATTTACAGTTGAGTTGACCATTACAGTTGACGAATTTTTGCTACCTTTCACAGGATTTGAAATAGTTGAGTTCAAAGTAGACCTTTTTCGAGAGATTCTATCAGAGTGTTTACGGTAGTTGGTTACTAAAAGGGCCGAAAACAGCAGAATTAGAACTGATATCGGAATTATGCAATCTGTGGACCAAACATCTCGATTGGCTGAATTTGTACAAAAAGTTGTCATTTAAAAAAATGGATATATTGTTTTGCTTCGTACACTCTGAAGTTTTCAGTCACATATTCTAGACTCATTTTTTAGGACTTTGAATATTTTTGAAAGAAAAACTCAAGGTTCGACATATCTATTTGTAAGGGTCTGCAAGACCCTTATTACTCGGTTTCCCATGTAATCGGTTCTACTGTTTCTAGTCTGATTCCTTAGCGCCACGACGTGCCTTTCTCTCTGGACTTTGCCCCAAGAGTCATGAAATACCATTCTTACATGTGACATATTGGCTCTAAGAGATCAAGATCAAGAGAGATTCCCAATCCTCCAGTCCCTCTACAGTCTCTAAACCCTGAATCATCCCGAAGTCCAATGACGATTCCCATCGCCCCCACGGCTGCAGAAGCTCTAGGCAGCCGCTCTCCAAGATGAGGCAGCGCCTCTCCAAGACTCTAGGCAGCGGCTCTCCAAAACGAAACAGACGCCAGCGACATGAGCAACGTTCTCCAAGAGTTGGTAGCACTCTTGGCAAACGTCGCCATCAAAACTCCGAACATTTTATTTTCTTTACAACTTCAACCGAACCATTCCCGGCAAACCTCGCCATTAACTTACCTTCCAAAATTCATCCACCTTTTCCTCTTTCTTTTCTATGGCTAAAGTCGCCACAAATTCACACAAAAACCCAACTCTTTCCTCATCGTTTCACCCTCGGAACCTTCTCTTGCCAAACATACGGCCAACGGCGCCAAAGATTCTACAAATGCAACCAGTTCGGCCCACCTGAGCCCAGACACTCTACTAGGAAGCCGGAGCGCAAACAACGACCGAACCTGCGACAACCTGACGTCTTCTGGTGACCTTGAATACACCGGAGTCGTTGCTCGAACAAACAAGGACGAAGATCTCCAAAGATACACAACTTGATTCCACGACAAATGCTCCGTGGAAGGTCGATCGTTTCTTTACCCCTTCGGAACGCCATTGGACCGTTAACAATGAACTCTCCACTATCTTATCCTGGATACATCGATGTTTCGAACCGGAGGTCGAACACTGGACACCCAGTAGCAGTATCGTCCGTGTCGCAGTCGTACCTTCTACCGGAAGCTAGGTCAGCAGAAAAACGATCTCCGCAACACACCGATCGCCACAACCCATTGTCTGGAACGAAACATACACCTCCACTAGATGTCCCCGGAAAACTTGAACCATGTGGATCCATTGTCAAATCTCAAAGCTTTCTTAGGAACAACCCACGGCGAACCGGCCCCACTACCATACAGGATCTTATACAACCGGCACCACCGGCGCACGTGAAGTTCGTTACACCAAAGAACAACTCCAAGACAAAAACGTTTGAATTATCACAAGCCGGAAACCGGGAAAGAATCGACCACGGCTTTCGTTCGGAGCCAGAAGGAGCGAAGATCCCATTCCTTTCCCAGGCACTCATTACTAGCCTGAAGAACGAAGTTCCAACTGGAGAACCCAACACCACCAACAGCTTGAGATCCACCACATGGCCCGTCGGCAGCAATGGAGCTCTCCGCAACGCCATCACGCCGGCCAGAAGCCTCCCCACCAGACTTCAAAATCGGACACATCCATATGGCCTTCATCCCACGCTGACCTCGTAAGACTCCACTTGCAAACAAGTCCCCGTAGCCAAAAACGGGTGCCCGCTCACTTTTCCTAATTAAAAGACCAGGGACGGTCCTCGCTAAAGGTGGTGTAAGGGTCTGCAAGACCCTTATTACTCGGTTTCCCATGTAATCGGTTCTACTGTTTCTAGTCTGATTCCTTAGCGCCACGACGTGCCTTTCTCTCTGGACTTTGCCCGAAGAGTCATGAAATACCATTCTTACATGTGACATATTGGCTCTAAGAGATCAAGATAGAGATTCCCAATCCTCCAGTCCCTCTACAGTCTCTAAACCCTGAATCATCCCGAATTCCAATGACGATTCCCATCGCCCCCACGGCTGCAGAAGCTCTAGGCAGCGGCTCTCCAAGATCTACACCATCTTTTATTAAATTCCTCATTTTCCATTATCTATTTGTCAGCATTTCTGTAACCCCGCCCCAAATTCCATTTATTCCCCGTTTGTATATAAGCCCATTCATGTAACCCTAAAGTCACGATTACACCTTATTCTTTTGTACAGGGCACAAGTCGCCCTTTTCCCCTAAACCAAACCTAAGATTAGAGAATAAATAAGCCTATTTCATATCCATGAACTCTTTATTATTGTATTGTAGGTATGAAGCTGATAATTTATCAGATGGTCAGTTCTGTTTATTTTTAAAAAATTTACTAACAAGGTTTGATGTATGTCCCTGTTGTTCACAATCAGTTTCAAAAAGGTTTCGATGTCCCCTTATCCCAAAATCAGAACTTCCCGAATAAACCTAAAAATAACAAACTCGTTGTTTTCTCCAACTCTAATCCCATCGACATTTACCAATTATCACAACACACACCAGGAGCCATATACGCAAAACACTCGTTGTTGTTTATCTGTCTGTCAAGTTTTTGGTAACAATCCAAGAGATTTATTCGAATTGCGTAGCAGCTTAAAATTGCACACTGCGAACAATGACAATTTCTATCTTGTCAAATCCCAACAAATCCATCAAGGAAGAGGAATTCTTTCAAATAGGCGCTTGCTCTTGAGGTAAACAATTCTGATAACGATGATGATAAGTGTTTGTTTGGATCAGTTGACATTACTGATTGATGTATCGCAATTTTCGAATGAGGAAGATTAGAAATTCGACATTTTTAGTAATCTAAATTTGAATGACACATCCCTGTGAGAGATCATATGAGCAATAAATTAGATTTATTGTGAAACCTGAAATTGGAAAAGTGTTGTATAAAACTACAGATTGGAATTCAATGAAACTTTGAAGGTTTTCAGAAATTCAGAATCCAAAAAATATCGGGACCCTTTTTGAAACCAGGGATGTGAGATAAAGAATCTGGATTTCCAAAAATTCTGACCGGAATTTTTTCTTTTTTTTTTTGGAATTTTAGCTGTTTGGACTACGCTATGCCAGAGGCGCCTAGCAGGTTTCAATAAGAATTACTTTTAGTTTTCTTCATTTTTTTTTGAGTTTCCAAAATATATTATACAAGTTTTCAAGTTTGAAACATGGATATTCCGAAATACCGAAAAATTATTAAATTTTTTTCGAAAATTTGAACATTGAAATTAGCGTAAGAGTGAATGGTTGTAGAGTATTGTCTACAGACGGGGTTCAATGAAATTTTCAGGCGAATTTTTCAATCTCGAGACCCCTGTACGCCAAAAAACACTATCGACGTTTTTATTTCGTAGTTCGTGAAATACAATTGTTGTCCCCCTAGGCATTAGTCACACTTTAAAACTATCACCGTTTCAATCCTGCTTAAAATTTTTAATCTTGTAAAAAACAACACCATAATCATGTTAATACAAATCGTCTTCTGTTTTGTGTCCTATACTTCCGATACATAGAGCAATGATGTTTTGATGTCAGGAGAAGTGCAGTTTAGTTAAGTGATTTATGATTTTATGATCTAGGTAGTAAGACTAAAATCAGGGGAAAATCTGTATGAAAAAATCGAAGAAATCGAAATCAAAAACCATATCAAATGTTACCTCCTCTTTTCTATTTTTTTACCAAACCACAAAAATCGGTTAAAAGTACAAACGCAACAGCGTGTAGGCCAATGATTCTTGATTAGCAATATAACAATCGGCAATGAATAAGTGAAAAAAATGTTGCAGATCTCCGCTAACCACTCGAGGCATGCATTGAAAATTGATAAATCTTGCCGCTACCTATTTCCATTTGCATTCTTTGTGTGGAACGTCTTCTACTGGTGGTACTATCTGGTATACACCAAGACTCCGGTGGATAAAACTAAATAAGATCAAAAGTTCTTTTTTTTTAATTCCGTTGATTCCTCTTCTTCTTTCCAAATCAAGTATTTGTGATCTCTTTTTTCCCCTCTGACTCTTTTTCAACAAATATTTTATTTTCTGAATGACAAATAAAAGTTTTCAACCAAGGCATGGGGAACAAATTGGACAGTGAAGGAAGGACAAAATAAATCAAGACCCTTTAAAACGTATTTTTTGTATAAAGTGGCGAAGGACACGGTTAAAGCAAATGAGAAAAAAGAACCGGGGATTGAAATCTACAGGGGGGGGGGGGGGGCAAAAATTATTACAAATTAAAACAACTGAAACAGTTAGACATTATTAATTAAACTCTGTTGTTCACAAATTTGAACACTGTCCACTGAGGTAGAATATTGGAATCGCATAGAAACGGAATGAGATTTCCTCGGTGGCTCGCGGAACATTGGCATAGCAGTTGTGGTTGAATTGGAGCGCACAAAACGTTCAGACCTTCCCTGAAAAAGCGAAATAAATTTAGTTTGAACCTTCAAGGAAGTGTTATTCCTCTTACTTTTTGTCTTTCCTCAACATTTGCACATAAAGCAACATTCTTCATCTCGCTGAGAACATGATTGAAGACTCGTGTTGCACATTCTTCAATATCCTCTCGCGAATAAGGATGTTTCGCTTTCCCATTGTTTTCTTTGGCGTGTGCCAATAGATGTGCCACCAAAGTATCTATGACAATGATACGGATGTTTTTCCAATCAGTCGGGTTGAAGTTTAGTTTTCCGGTCTTGGCGGCGCTCGAATACTGCTTGTACATGAATTTCTTGGAAATACGGCTGCTACGATCACCAAACCATCGGAACACATCCTTGACAAATTGTCCGAACTGAACACCAACAAGGGTTTCCTGTTCGTATTGCTCACTCTCTTTTTGTGAGTCTCCATGAACAATGTTGCGGACTTCCTGGACGTCTTCGCAAAGCTTATGAATTATATCAGCTCCAAGAGTTGAGGCAAATGGACTAATTTGCTTTCCAATGTGTTCAGCAATGCGGATTTTCACAGAATTGTATTTGACGGACGTTGATAGTGTCATGCTCACCACATCCTTCTTCTGAAAATGGGACATCATTGTTTAGCCAATCATAAAATACAATTTTTTTTTCTTTTTCCTACGCTTTTTTCCTATAAATATACCGCTACAAAAGCAACGTCATGAATCATTATGATCACTAGACTCTAGACCAAAAAACAACGCTAAAAACGAGACAAGGACTCGTCATCCGATAAAGTGAAGCCCCACACAAATTGCTAATTATCTTCAAAGGGACAGATCATTTTTCTTCTATTTTCTTTTATTTTCTCATTCCTAAAAGTATATTTGACCAAGCTGGACTCACTCTGCAGCTTGGGAATTTGTAGAAGAGAAGCCAGTTAGTAGCACTATGAACGACCAAAAGCATATTGGAAGCGTCGGTTAGGTAGAAGGAATTGATATAGCCGTCGTAGTCTCCGTTTCTGAAATTGTTTTTGAGTATGGCAAGATACTGTAAATGTCTTACTCCATATTTCCATATTCCAACAGTTCTAGTAGAATTGTGTTGAACATGTATAGGGTGTTACATAGGATGAATTTGAAATTAAGTAGCTGGAAATTCTACATTGCAGAAGGCTGAGGGCGAGTTACAGTATGCTTACCGACAACCGGAGTGGCATATTTCGATTCATTCTCATTCCGATTTGAAAGTTTCCTACGCTTCTCTGACTGCATGCTTGGATAGTACGCACTGTCAATGTTCCGATGACTATGATTGGGGTTGGGGCACGAAATAGGAGGTCCGGGAAGAAATGAACCACTGGAAAATTGGAAATGAACACCAATTCTCAAAAAAATGGGTACTACAAAATCTGTAGACTTACAAAATCTATAAATTCGAGTCCTGTCATCATAATAGGGTTTCATCATGGTATGATTCTTGAACGTTGGCGCGCCTTGATCATCAACGCCCATTTCGAAACAATCAACCTGGAACAAAGAAACACTATAAATCCTCAATTTTCCAAGAAATCAGAGAAATAATCTCTAACCAAAGGATTAGTGGGAAAACTCTTACAAGCTCGTTTTCAAACGGGACCGGTAGCAGATTGAGGATGAATGCACCAATAGTAATCCCCACACAAATCCAACCGACACCGAACTTTGCTTTCCGAGTACGCTGTTCCAATGGTGATGAGACGGCCAGATATCTTTCTAGAGTGATGGCAAAAACTTGCCAAATTGTGCATGACACACAGAAAGATGCGAAGGGTTGGAGGAAAAATAGAATGTAAGAGAAAGGTCCATAGATTGGGGTAACACTGTAGATCAGTGATGGGATACAGTAGGTTGCTGAAATTGAGATGTTATAATTGTTGCTCATTCTGCAGTAAGTCTTACAAAGACAGCAAAGTAAATACAACATATCCCAGAAGCAAATCATCCCTAGATGTACAGCCAGCCGTCTTGAAAACACCCGAGAGCTGTAGATCTGTAAGGGCAACTAGAAACATTATGAGTCATTTCTCATGTCCTCATACCTGTTTCACAAGAAGGCAACTTCCACTAAGCCCGAGCAGAATCAGCACTAATGTGAAGAATCCATTATAGCGATAACTGAAAGAGGAACATGATAATAGAAACATCTCTGAGACTGAGGTGTTTGCGGAAACGCCGAGTTTTCTCGTTCCAAGCAGGTCACTTCCTATCCGGATTTAAGTTTCTTCATCGTCAGAAATTTTTACTTTTTCCGAGGAAGCGGCATGATTCACACGCTAAACCTGACTTCCGTCTTACAGCTTATGCTTTCCAACTTTTCGAGGAAGAGAAATGGAACAAATCCTATTAAAAAGAGGAAGAGCTCACAAAAATCTCAAAAAAAAATCTCAAAAAAGCGTACCTAAAAGTTTTGTAGTGTGCATATTTGGTTCTCATTTGTGTCGACACATTTTGAGGTGTGGCCATCGTGTGCAGCCACATCTCCATATCGAAACACCATTCAAAAGTAGGCCATTCGAAATCTGTTGCATTAGTATTCTCCTCCATATTGTTCTAGAAAATGTTTTACAGAAAACTATAAAAGTTTAAAGAAAGTGAACTTGAAAGGTGAATGAGTGGAAGGGGGTGGGGACACCACATTAATTGGAGGAGGAGCAACCTTGGATGAGAAGCGGAGAGAAAAAAAAAGAGGGGTGGAGTCTCCTCAACATGGATTTGAACTATGGAAGACGTGGGATTTGAGCGAGGAGAGAAGAGAGAGAGAGAGAAGAGAAAAAAAAGAGGGTGAGAGATTACATCATTAGAATTTGAGGGATGAATTCGGGAAGAATTTGAGGAAAAGGAAAGGAGATTTTCACGGTTCAAGTTGCACTGAACATCAGGAGCATAACGAAGTGGTTTCTTGGAATCCTACAAACCTAAATTAGATTTTTTTTGCAATATCCACAAAATCTGATCATACGGTCCTCATTAAAAATGACTGATTAGGATAGCTGAAAGGGTGTGGAAAACAATAATTTTTAGAATGAGGTCATGAGAAGTACGTTGATGAAACTGAACAGATCAAATGGAAAAGTAGTAATGAATCACAGTTCTGTATTTGATATTGGTCTACAGTAATCTATTACCGAAAAAACATATTTTCAGTTGAGTTTCAGTAACTTTCGGGAGTCTCGATTTCAGCTGTCAGGTTTCCGATCATTTTGAAAATTTCGAAGCGTGTAAAACATACCAAGACGGAAAATTTTGAATTCGCAGAAGTTTTTGAAAATTCCTAACTTTTCAGCTACTCGCCAATTTCTGAAAGACATCTTTTTTGGCCTGTCTTTGTACTGAAAACGTGAAAAAGGGTGCTTTTTAGAAATCGGCACATATATAAACTAGGAATTTTCGAAAAGTTCTGTGAATGTAAATTCCTCAATCTAGGTCTGCTTTAAGCCCTCCAAAATTTTCAAAGTTATTGAAAACTTGACAATCGAGATCCTGACTACGGAAAATGGCCGAGATAACTGGAAATCTACTGAAAAATACGTTTTTGTATATCTTACTGTAAAAAGATTTCCTCGTGCTATAAAGAAGATAAATTGATAAGAAGTACAAACCATTCGCTGACTAATACAGTGATTTTCTAATTTCAATTCTGAATCTTCTACAGAAAACCAAAACAATACGATTTCGTACCTAATTCTTGATACACTATGGGTTTGACCTGTTCAAGACCAGAACATTTATAGTGCGCGGGTAGGGATACGGTATCAGTTGCAAATCGGGTTTCCTTTCTCACGAGATTGACCGTTTCGGTCTTCTTTTTCCCTTTGTCAACCTGTCGTTTGTCATTTAGATCACCCAAAATGGTTTCTCTCTTATGGTAGAAAACGCAACAACCACAAAACTGATCGTTTTCCGTTCCGGCAGCACTTTTCTACACTTTTCTAAGAATCTTTTTGTTCTTTTATAGTACCCTTTGCCCTGACATCTTTGATGATTATAAACCACCCGAAATTCGGGAGAAAAGGCAGAAAAAAATAAAGGGAAAGAGAAAGAAAATTGGTGATTGATAGGCTAGTTAGAAAAAAAGAGGGAAGGAGAAGGAAATTGAGAGGATTCATGTGTGTGTGTGTGTGCAGACATCTACTGGCAAGTACAATTTCGGAAATTCGTGAGTGTCCTGGGTGATGCCTAAAGAGTCGGGAATTTCCTAATAATTTAGTATTAGTACGTGACAGAATGAGAGATACGAAAACAAGATTTTGGAACATTATTCTGAATATTTATGTAGATAAAAATATTTATAGCAACCCATCTGATGTCATTTTCATGCAAAGAATTTCTTTTGAGTATTCTAGTTCTAATGGAAAATTTTTTTGGTTTTTGAGCTTAGCTTCAAATTCATCCTTTTCTTAATACATCCAGTTTCTTTATCGTCCTCTTATCAGTTCGATCAGTCTGAGCTTGCTCAAAATAAAGTTTTTGAACCCAAAACTAACTAGGGAATTAAAAACGTTTTGTAGTATTTGAGTAGTTTATCTAGAAGTACACAAAAAGTACGTGTGATGAATAATGAGAGAAAATGAGTTTCTCGTTTTAATTGAAACAATTAGAGTAATTGTTCCTAAAAGTCACGAGCGACTCATTCGAAATGGGGTAAAAGGCTGGAGAATGGAAAAGAGATCTGTCTGACAAAGCTCGAAAACCTAAGTCAATATCATACTGATTTTACAAAACACAGGTGAAAAAACGCTGGTTGACGTCTATTGTTTGTCACTTCTTGAGATCAAACAATATAGCTGGAACAGTTTGAATAATTCAGAATATCAGTTTTTGAGAAAATTCGGAATTTTCGTATTAAATCAGGAAAGTTCGGAATGGCCATTTTGGAATTTTTTGGAATATCAAAAATTATGGAATAATCCGCTCCAAAAAAATTGGGTGTTCCTATAACAAAAGCTCTATAAATCGGTTTAAAATTGACAGAATCCAAAAACATCAAAAAATTGAAAGTATTCGTGTCCCTTGATACGCTTAAAGAAAATTTTTACCCCTTTCATTCATCGTAGTCCAAATTTCTATAAATCCGACAAAGAATCGGAAATTTCCGGTCGCAATTTTCAGAATTCCGTGTTTTCAAATAAAAAATCGAAATTTATATAAATTCATTTCCGTAGAGGTCGCTGTACAAATTTAAACCGAAAAGAATATAAGCGGTTTTCAGATATTTACTAGGCAACACAGTTTTCTAGTATTCTTAATAAAAACAAAATAGATCAGACATGAAAAAATCGTAAAGTCAGATGATTTTCAGAATCAAGTGTCCTAGAAAACCGATGCCAAAATTGGATGAGCAATAGGGGAAGGGCTATAACAAGACTCTCACATTTTTAGTGTCAGATTGCATTTTTTTTTCCTCCTACGCATACCTTTTTTGCAGTTACTAATTGGCATCTATAAGAAAAATCTAGCAAATCGAGTCAATTAACTTTCTCATCTATCTCACGCAATAGATATTTATTGACGATGTAAAAAAGATGGATTTATCAAAACCAATTTGAAAGTACAAAACTTGTTTTGATGCATGGACAAGAAATGAGAAATTTGTAAAAAAAAATCAAATGTCCAGTCAAAAGTGCTTGCAAAAAATATTTTGAAAACCAAAAGCACCCCGGAAGCTTCCATTTTTATTTACCCACAGCACTTTAATTAAATTTTTGGGGGTTTAACCCCTTTCGTCTTCTTCTTTCTGAGATATGAAAAAGAAATAGGAGCTAACGGATTTGTAGACATACTCAGTAACGTTCGGGCGGGCTGAAATTGCAAGTAATGCAAAATTTGATGCTTCGAAGAGAAATGCTCCAAGGCTATTTAGACGATAATTACTCACGCGGTTTGCTGTCTCGAGACTGATGAGTCAAACGAAAAAAAGAATTCTCGATGAACTTTTCCGGCTCGAAGAATTCTATATTTATTTTTGTTTTCTCAAAAATTTTGATATTTCACTTTTTACTAGAAAGAAGGATCATGCGGGCTCCAGAGGATCGTAATCAGCGGCAAAAACAGTTATATAAACTATAAATTCAAAATTCACAAGGATTAATATCCGGAGAAAAAAATTGAAAAATTTCTACAAAAATTTCTACAAAACATTCTCGCTACACTTGTCTTGTCACACTTTTTCCATAAGATATATGCCTCCAAACTTTCTTGGGAACGTCAAAAAAGAGAGGGACAATTAAAACAGAAAAGATCTGGTCTAGAGTTAAGAGAAAATCGGAAAAATGTTCTATGTAATAATGTCATCTGTGGAAATTTCAAATTCAAGGGGAAGTCGGAATCAAGATGAAATGTATGAGAGAGAGAAGAAAGTTTGCACCCTCCACCAAAACATGAAAAGGAGGGGGGGATTCCTCGAAAAAATTTGTTTCAGATCATTCTAAATTCCATGTGATGGATGAGTCAAAAAGGAAGAGGAAGTGAGTACATTTTTCGTGTTCTAAATGTGTTAACATGAACTTTTCAAAAATTCGAATCAGTATTACTATCCTAGATGTTTGAAAAATCACAGCTCGAGCAGGCATCATATGCACACTTCGAGTTCAATTATCTCAGTTTCTTTGAATGAAATCAAAAAATGTTCAACTGATAAAGTATTCATTATGATATCAGCCACATTTATTTAATTGACAGATTTTTCTCACAAAAACCGAGATAATTGAGCTCAAACCAGGGATTTTCGGAATGACCTTTTCGGGATTTTTCGGAATGTCGAAAATTCCGATTTTTAAATTTCGGAATTTCGGAATATTCCGATTTTGAAATTTTTGGAATTTCGGAATTTTCCGATTTGAAAAATTTCGGAATGTTGAAAAATTCCAATTTTAAAGTAGAAATTCCATTTTTCCATCACAAAACGCCGAAATTAGGAGATAATTGACGGAAAGATTCTGAAAAGTCGTGAAAACGCAAAAAATTGAATGTATATCTGCCCGCAAGCAGTTTTTTCGCGACATACCGTAGTCCAAAAATTTCTTTTTCCAAAAAAAAAAAACGCTTCGGAAAAATTCCAACCGGAGTTTGATTCCGAAAAAAATCTTTGGAAATATTTTGACCGGAATTTGATTCCGAATTTTTTTTCGGAAGTTTTCGAAATTCCGAATTCTGTTCCGAACATCCCTAGCTCAAATTTGACAGTGTCTGGGCCCTTCTATTACAGGTTTCACGGTAATTGGTTTCTCACAATCATAAACTCTGACAGATACATTTGGGAAAACACAAAAAGACTTTACGAAGATCTTCAAATTTGACTAACAAAAAACAAACTCGCCAACGCAGTTAAGGCACGTTTCAGTTTTTCTCGTAACTCTTATCCTTCTCAATATCAAATCTTGGAATTATCCCCAACTTATCCGAAACGATTTTGACTCACGGAATAGAACGAAATACGTGTCAACAAAGCAAAATGCACAAATTCAGTTTATCTAGAGAATATTTATACTCATGCGATTAGTTTCTCGACGTTTCTGGAGATTGATAGGGTGGGAAAGTTTTATTTT